CCTTAAAGTTTTCCTTTATCCATCTAACATTTAAATTGATACTTTTGGATTATTAATTATTTTTTTTTATTATTATTTTCTTTTTCACTTTCTTTTTTATTATCTTCACTTTTTTTATTGATTACTTTATCACTTTCTTATCAAATCTTATCAAATCATCATTCCTCGTTTAATCAATGAATGTCTCTGAAGAAATTCAGTGTTATAATAGCATTCGTCCTCATTGGAATATTAACATAGTTAAATTAATTACTATTATTATTATTCTCTTTCTCTTTATTTTATTACTTATTGCTTTTTTTATTCCTAACTCTCCTTTAAAGTCAGTTATTATTTCAATTATTACTGTTTTAGAAGATTTGTCCTTTGTTACTGCATCACTTTTATTTATTTTCTTTTATATTATTGTTTTATTACTAGCCCTTCCTGCAACTCCATTAAACTTAGCAGGTGGGTTTTTATTTGGTTTTTCAAAAGGAAGTTTAATAAATATAATTGGTTGTTTTATTGGTGCTTCAATTCCATGTTTTATTGCTAAATACTTCCTTCAAAATACTATTAAATCATATCTCCATGAACATTCAAAAATTCATCAAATTATACAAACTATTGAATCAAATGAATTTTTAATGATTTTGTTATTAAGACTATCACCATTATTCCCATTTCCTATTTCTAATTATGTTCTTGGTCCATTTTGCTCTTTTCAAAATTATGTTGTTGCAACGTTCTATGGAATAATACCAGGGACTATAGCTTATACTTATTTTGGGAGTGTAGTTAAAAATGTGAGTGATATATTCTCAAATCCAGATCGTTTGTATTTCTTTTTTTTTTATTTTGAAATTAATCTTTACTTTTAGTTGAAAATGATTGGGTTGGTGTTTCATTAATGATTTTGATTGTTATCTCTTCAATTGTGCTGTTAGTTACTGTTACTGTTATCACCAGAAAAGCAATTAATAATGTAATCTCAAGAAAACAATTAACAGACACAGTAAAATATGATGATATGATAATCATAACTATTAATTAACTTATTTTTTCCAAATGAAACATCAGGTTGAATCTTCTAATCAAAATACTAATATCTATGATGAAAAGAAAGTAATGTTTAAGTAAACTCTTTTTCTGGAAGGAAGCATCAATATGAATTTCATTTTAATTTGTTTAATAATCTGTATGGCAAATGCTGAAACCGTTTCTTTTGTTCTAGAAAATACATCATTTAAAAATGGTTGGCATATTTATTCGGAATATACGTTTGTTATTATTCATTTTTTTTAATTATATAGTATTGATAAGTGTATAGCAATTGTAGTGTTGTACAAAAAAATGGTATGTTATTTTTTAAGGATAATATAACTACAGGATTGAAATTTGTAAATGACAACTCTCTACTTACTCAAGACTTTAATACTCTTCAGTTTTATTTCTTTTTTGAAGGAGAAAATAATACCAATTTCACAGTTTTACTTTCAGAAGATGTTAGTAACAGAAAAAAGACAAATGGTTTTGTTGAAACTATAACTTTTACAGCTCAACCTAATGTAACAAACAAAATTGTACTTCCAATTAATATACAAAGAACAAAATTTATGACACTTAAATTAGGAGAAGGTCAAACGTTACGTAATGAGAATGTTAGAATAAAAGACCTTAAATTCTCAGATGAAGAACCTTTTATTGAGACTGACGCAGTTGAAGCATCTTCAAATCAGCTTGTCATATTTGATCCAATTGTCTGGCAATGTGAAAATGGAGCAACAAACATTTTGATAATGTTTGGTGTTTTGTCAATCTTTTTTATGTTGATATAAATCACTTTATTATTTAATTTAAATTTTATCAGTTATAGAAAATATTGTCTTATGATTAAAATTTTTTTCAATAGATAAGAAAAAAAATAAAGATGATATCAATACGTTATTTTTGAAAGAATCAATTAAAAAAAAAATAAATCAAATTTTATTATAAAAAATGAATTTATAAAGACCATAAAACCACAAGAATAAGTGAAATTTAGAGAAGAGAACAATGATGAGCATGATCAGGTTTTTTGTTACCATTGCTAGAATTAATTCTTTTAATAAGAGTAGTAAAAATATCAGAAATTCTAATTTCAGCCTTAGCAGAAACTTCAAGAAAGTCAGCTCCATATTTATCTGCAAGAGCTTTTCCATCATCTTGTGATACAATTCTTTGGCTTTCAAGATCACATTTATTACCAACAACAATAATTGGTACATCTTCTGTATCTCTAACTCTAACAATTTGGTCATGAATTGGATCAAGATCATTATAAGTAGATTGTGCAATAATGGAATAAACAAGAACAAATCCTTGTCCAGTTTTCATATATAAATCTCTCATAGCAGTAAATTGTTCAGTACCGGCAGTATCTAAAATTTCAAGAACATATTGTTGTCCATCTAAGTCCAATTGTTTACGATAAGAATCTTCAATAGTTGGATCATATTTAACAAGGAAAATTCCTTGAACAAATCTTACAGTAATTGATGATTTTCCTACAGCACCACTTCCTAATACTACAATTTTATAGTCTTTTACTGGCATTTTGTGTTATTTATATATTTAATAGTTTTACTTCGAAGATTATAGGGTTTTTATGACGTGATTTTTTTTATTAGCTTGTTTCTTCTTTTTTTCATTTCCATTTTATTTTTATTTTCCCTATTTTTCCTTTTATTTCAACGTATCACTTCTTTTTTTATTCTTTTTTACTAAATAGTTTCTCCTTCTTCTCTTTAAATGTTTTGAGTAAAAATTTTTTCTTTTTTATTAATTTAGTTTATGATACTTTATTTAGCATTTCTTTTGGCAGTATATTGACAATTGAAGTATAAATAAATTATATTAATAATCAGTAAATTAAAAAAAAAGAAGTTTTGGTAATAGAAATAAAAAGTATGAATTATACCAAAAACAAAATTGTTTATTTTCGAATAACATATTCTAATATTTTTTGAATTAGTGAGATAATCTTTCAGTGAAAATAAAAATGATAATATAAAGAATCAAATTATAATATTAATATCATTAAAACTACTAATAACTGAAAGATTGAATAACATTTTTTATAACAAAAAATAAATAAAAAAAAATAATTTTTACATCTCAAAAAAAAAAAAAAGAAAAAATAGAAATAACATGTCAGAACCTCAAACACCAAGAGATGATCCAAAAGAACAAAAACAATTTGAAAAAGACAAAGAGAACATTAAAAAATATGCAAAAGAATTTACAAGATTCTTTTCATATAGTAAAAAGAAACCCAATTTTAATGTTATTTATTCATCAACAATTAGTGGATTTAATAGAAAAACATTATATAGGAAAATCATTGGAGAGAAGAATATAATGTTTTATTTTGAAACTCTTCAAGGAGACATATTTGGTAGTTATAATGAATTAGCAGTACCAGAAGAGAATAAATATGGATCAACATCAATTAATAATGATCCACATTATTTTATATTTTCATTAATTAATAAGTCACAATATGGTGCATTTTCTATGTCACTTGTTAATAATAAAGAAAAAAAAGAACAAACAGTAAATATTTCACAGTCACATGGTATTATTGATGGAGTAACAAATATCAGTTCTGGTATTGTAAATGGTATTTCAACAGGAATTAGTTCTAGTGTTGATTTAGTAACAACAGGAGTAACAACAGTTGCAAATGGAGTAGCAACAGGAATTAATACAGTTACACGTTCAGATATTGTTAGTACACCAAGAGATTCAAAAAAAGGAAGTAAAAAAATGAGAAGTTTATATATTTCATCAACAGTTAATGATGATTGGTTTTTAGAAACATACTGTGGATTTATTATTAGTGGAAATGAAGTTATGTTTAATAAAAGATTAGGAAGTTACTATCAATTAGAATGTGAACCAGAAGGATTTGATAAAGATGATAATGAAAAAGTAACAAATTTTATTGCACAAGCAAAAGATATTTTTATTGGAGTTGGTCAACCTAAACCAGTTGAATTAAAGAAAATGATAGTTATTCAATGGAATTTTGATACTAAAAAATAATTAAAATTTTTATTTTAAATATTTTAAAAACTATTTAATATTAAAATATGTCAAATTTTACATTAATTACTACTTGGTTAAGTGGTATTGTTCTTTGTGGAATTAATTTAGTTAATGTATTATTTCATGCATTATGTATTGTTGATCTTGAATCAGATGAATTATCACCAATTGATTTTTGTCGACGAGTTAATCGGTTTGTTAGAAATAAGAAAAGTTAAAAACAAAAAAAAAGGGTTTATTAAAATGAATTAATCAAATAAAAGAAAAGAAAATAACACATAGATTATTATTTCCAGAATTTATTATTCATTCAATATTAACTTTATTATTTATTCCTCATTTAAATTGGTTAGAATTATTATTAACATTACCAGTATTACTTTTTGATATTATTCAATTGTTTAAAAAAGATTTTCAATATAATCCAACTTCTGTATTTTATCAAATAAAAAATAGAGAAAAATTAAGTTATACAAAATTAGCTTATTATTTAGCTCTTATTTTTATTTTATTAGCAAGACTTTTATACTTCGTAATTATGAATTACAGTCTTTCTAAAGGAAAGAATTTAAAAGTGTAGAATTTTAAAGAAATTCTAAATTGAAAGTTTCTTTCTTTTGGAATTTTATTTTCTTTTTTCTTTTTATTTTTCTTTTTATTAAATAGTTCTTTATTCTTACTTTATGCAAGACTCCACTTCTTCTGCTTCTGGAATTACTTCTATGAAATTACCTGTTATTGTCGAGGCTGCTCTCGCTAATATTTGTTCAATTACTGGTCTTGTTTTCTTCTTCTTTGAAAAAGAAAATTTGTATGTTAGAGCTCATGCTTTACAAAGCGTTCTCTTCTTCCTCGTTTCTGCAATTATTGGTTTCCCTTTCTTCCTTCTTTGTGTTTGTGTTGGTGGGGCTTTAGAAGGTATTTATATTGCTCTTCTTGTTATTTATTTCCTTCTTCGTATTGCTTTAATTGTTTTGGCTTGTGTCTTCGCTAAGAATGAAACTTTCTTTAGCATTCCATTTATTAAGGATTTAATCCTCAAATTGGCAAATTAAAAAATTCAATTTTTGTCTTAACACTTTTTCTCCTTTGTTTTATTCTTAAAATATTATTTAAAAATCATTTCAATTAATATATTGTTTATTTTAATTCACGTTTGATTATTTACTTATTTCTTTTTTATTATTTATTCAAATCTTTTAAATTAAATGTATTCTTTAAATAAATTTTTTTATTTATTAATTTATATAATATTCATTTTTTATTTTTCATTTCATTTATATGTAATTTATTTGTAATACAATCAATATTAGGATTTTATTATTAACTTAACTTCTTATTCTTTTTGCTTTTTTTGATAATTTATAAATATAAATATGTATTATAACAATAGGTTAATTTAATATTTTCTTTCACATTTCTTTGTTATTGTTTTTTTATTTGTTGTTATGTTGGTGAATTTATTACCACTGTTGGTAATGTCATGTGTTGTTTTATTCAAAGTATTTTGATTTAAATAACTTACGTTGTTTGATATTCTTGTTTTATTATTCATTTATTATTTGTTTCAATTGATAATTGTGAATGTTATGAAATTGTTTGACTGAAATAAAGTCTTAATAGATATACAAGGTTAATGGCTAAAAGAAAAAAAACAATAAAGAGTCATTTGGATATTTAACTAGAAAAAATAATGAAAAAATAATATTTTCTTTGGTACTAATTGCTAATAATAACTTCAAAATAATGAAATGATATTTATTTTAATAAACAATAAATCGTAAAAAGACTTAAAACCAAGTAGTAATATAATTAAGGAATAAAACAAGAATATTGGAATTTTGCATTCATTTAGGAAATGGTTGTTCTTTAATTGTTTAAATTGACATTTTTGGTAATAAAGTGTTTTACTTCAAGAAGAAATTAGAAAAGAACAGACATTACAAAGGTGTTAATTTTTCAAAACTATCAGACAGTGGTGTTAGTACTGGTAATTGTATTTAGTGTTCAAATAATATAAAACATATCCTACATTACCTAAAGAATTATTGGAAAATATGAAAATGAAATAAATAATGAAAAGCAACTATTTGAAATAAAGATTGAGGGTTATGAAAATGTTGACATCGAAGTTTATAGTCTATTGAAATGAGAAGTAAAAATAATTGCATCATACAACGCTAATAGAATGAAATTAAAATATTTATATATCAATGTCAAAGTAAGAATTTCTACTATTTATATAACATTGTTATAATTCAAGTTAATTTTATTGAAAAATGGGTTTAACAACAAGTGGGTTTAAATTAGAATGGATTCAAAACGTTTGAATTATTGGTGATCCATTAACAGTAAATTTTGAGTCTAATGAACATATACGAATTTATTAAAGAAAGGAAATACAGTCATATGGATTGATTTTGAAAGATGAACAAATATAAGTTATTGTACAGTATTAAATGAATGCACTTGTACAGAAGTTAATAAAGACTACTTGAATTTATGAAAAGATAATTTTAATACTGTAATGGTTGATTTAATTAAACAAAAAGAATTGTTCTAAATTTTTTATGAAAAGAAAAAAATGAATTTCATTTCAAAAGAAAAATAAATTTAATAAGAAATTAACTAAATTAATGAAAGACTTAGAAGGAATTCAATTTGAGTTAATTGATATAATTAAATATGAATTAAATTTAAAAATAATACTAAAGAATGATAACAGTTGATGTATTTGAATTTATTCTAATATTTTTAGATTCTATTTTGATACTATATTTCAAAACAACGACTTCTATTTTTAATATCATTAATAAAATAAGTAAAATTCAATGAAAAAATTGTTGCTCAAAAAAGATTCATTTGACTTTAGTTGTTGCTTCAAATTCTAATTTTTTACGTGAAATATCAACAGGTACGAAAATTAGCAAAGAAAAAATGCA